TTTTTAAAATGTGTCTATTCTTCCTTTTTTATTAGTATATATTTGAGATACACAGTAAATGCACATTGCGAGGAACTGGTGCATATACGTTTTCTATTTCCCCTTTTCTTCCCTTGCACATTCACTTACCTCCAGGTCCTCTTCCAGTCTCCACAAGTCTATCTCCCTGTTTCCTATCATTTATTGTGTATATTTTGCTCCTAAATAGTTTGTAGGTTGGGTCTCTTATACAAGATAAACTTCATTGATTAACCTGTTTCGAGATAAACTGTATAAACTGTACAATGTTTAAATCTCTGTGTCTGATTTATTTCATTCAACACTATAGTCTCAAGGTGCATCCATTTTCCTACAAATGACTCAAATTTATCTGTATACATTTATACTATTTATAGCTAAAAAGTAATCCACTGTGTTTGGATATATTTCCTTTATCCATTCATCTGTTGCTGGGTATGCAGACTGCTTCCAGGATTTAGCTATTGTGAGTTGTGTGCTGCTATAAACGTGTGTGTACATGACTGTATTATGATACCCAGGAGAGGCACTGCTGGGACAAACGGAATCTCTCTGTAGTTTTCGGAGGATTCTCCATACTGATTTCCATAGTGGTTGCACTAGTTTACATTCCTTGCAATAACATGGAAGGGTCCATTTTTTCCCACAGCTCCACCAGCATTTATTTTTTGAATTCATGATTATAGCCATTCTTTATGGAGTAAAGTGATACTTCTGCATTGGTTTGATTTTCCTTTCTCTGATGGCCAAATTTGCTCAATGTTTTTTTTTTTCATATATTTATTGGCCATTTGTACTTCTGCTGAGAAGCATGTACTCATTTAAATTGTTCTTTTTTTATTGGATCTTTAATTTTGGAGGTTGAATTTTTTTGAAAATTTCATATATCCTAGATATTAGTCTTCAGAGGAGTACCTGACAATTTCCCATTTTGTAGGTTGTCTCTTCAGTATGTTGGTTGTGTCTTTGACTGTGCAGAAGCTTTTGATTTGATATAGTCCCATTTATTGATTGTTGCTGTTATTTCTTGTGCAACTGGAATTCTGTTAGAAAGTCCTTGACTATGCCTGTGTCCTCATGAATTTTACCATTTTTTTCTTCTAGTATATTATTTCTGCTTTTACATATATGTCTTTGATTAATTTTGATTTGCTTTTCACAAATTGTGAAAAATATGGCTCTAGACATTCTTCTGCATATGAATACCTGTTTTCCCAGAACCATTTGTTAAAGAAGCTCTTTTGGCCCCTTTGTTGAAGATCAGATGGCTGATGCTATGTCAGGTTGTTTCTACATCCTTAGTTCTGTTCCATTGATCCACATACCTCTTCTCCTGCCACTAGCATGCTGTTTTTATCATTGTAGTTATGAGCTAGTACCTGAAATCCAGGATTGTGATGCCTCCTGCTTTGCTTGTTGCCCAGGATTGCTTTTGCTATTCTGGGCCTTTTTCTGATTCTATGTAAAATTTATAATCTTTTTTAGTCCTAAAAGAATATTTTTGGTATTTTGTTTTGGATTTCATTAATTCTTCATGCCATTTTTGTTAATATGGCCACTTTGACAAAATTCTAAGTAGCAGGCAAGGAAGAACACAATAGATGCTAACTTTGTGTTCCTGTACTTTACGGTATACTGATAATTCTTCCCCTTTTTTTCCTTTTGAAGACTTTAAAATGCTAGTTTTTTAATAGATTTATAAGCTTTAGAATTTTAAGTTTGTATGACATCAGATTTGTTTTTAAGCCAGGTTTTACAAAAATACAGAGGAAAAATATACAATGATTATTTTCTTGATCCCTTTAACCTTTTTAGTTTATTCTGTAAAATTAAACATGTCACTTGATTTGCTTGGCTTGTTCAGGAAAGTAGAAAAAAAGAGTTGGTAAACCTTAGTAAATTAAGCCACAGTTCCTTCTGGGGAGTTAATTTTAAATTGAGCTGTGGGTGGTGGTGGGGGCTGGGCTCTAAGTGTGTCTTAGCTAAAAGAAAAACCTTGAATGGAAAACTCTTAGCAGTTCCTTTTGGATTGAGGCTAAGAAATCTGCAGTTGGGGCAAGTGCGAAGAGGTCCTATGCCCTTGTCCTGGTGCAGTTGAATTCAGTGCATTCGGTAAGTGTTCTATACACACACAACTGCTAGAAGGATTTGCTGGAAATGTGATGGTACTCCCTTGAGATGCTCTCTAGAAGCCACCGGGCTAGCATTTTTCCTGGCCTTGTAGAGCCAGAGCTATTTGCATTAAAAGGAATTTAAACTTTGGATATTGTTTTAGTTACTTATCTTGTTCCTGGGACAAAATACCTGACACCCACAACCTTAAAGAGGAAAGGTTTATTTTAGCTCCCAGTTTGTAGATGTTTCAGTCCATAGTCAACTGGCTAAGTGGCTCCAATGTGGGGTGGTATAGAAGGGGGGCAACACAGGAGAAACAGCCCATGGCATAGTGGGCAGTAAGTCAAGCAGCAAGCCTCCTTTTCCCTTTTATCCCATCCAGGCTGCAAGCTTTTTAGATGGTGCCATCCACACCCAGGTTTGTCTTACATCTTCCACACCCAGATCTGTGATAAACCAATTTAATTATCATACATTCTTATTTATTTTTTATTTTTTTGGTTTTTTTTTTGAGGAGGGGGTCTCACTAAGTAGTTGAGACTGCCCTGGAACTCACTATGTAGCCCCAGGCTGGTCTCGAACTCACAGCAATCCTCCTGCCTCAGCCTCCCGAGTGCTGGGATTACAGGCGTGGGCCACCACACCCTGCAAATTATCATACATTCTTAATCTCAGTTCCGAAGGATTTAGATCTAGCCAGCTCTGAAAAGCCCCATCTATGACTGTATGAGGCTTTGGGGGAACATCTAGATACAAGCCACAACAGATATGACTTCAATTTAGCCAAATCAAAGCAAAGTTTACGATTTTGTAGCAGTGGAATCAATTAAAAAATCATTTTGAGAGGATAAGAAGGTACGAGGCAAAAATAAAAGAAGCTAGGAGGGAAGGAAAGCTTTTATTGACTTAACTCTAAGACCTTAAAGTTATGTCAGCTGGGGAAGACTGACTCATACTCAAGTTGATATATATCCAGAAGAACAAAATGTTAATGGCTTTAGTTTGAAACCTGAATCTTTGTCCAAATTGATAATTCTATTGATGAGAATGGTAGGTTTTCTGACATATCTTAGCTAACAGCAGTCATCTCAGAAGTAGAGGATGGTAGGGCCTAGGGTCAAAATAATAAAAGTAACTGCTATTCATTAAATATACAATATATGTCATGCACTATGCCAGGTATTTTACTTTTTTTGTTGTTGTTATGGGGATCAAACCCGGGACCTTGCACTTGCGAGACAGGCAGCAGCACAACTGAGCTAAATCCCTGGCCTCTACTCATAATCCTGACATTCCAGCATGCCTATAAGCCAGAGCTTCTCAAACCTACTTCACAGAGGCAGAAACTAAGGCTCATAGGTGACAAGGCTAGGACAAGAGAGTTAAAGTCTACACTGTTCCCGGTCTAGGGCAGGCCATCTCTTCTTTAGTTCACTTCTCATCAAGTCTCAGGTGGCAAAATGGTATCATGTCAAAGTATTAAAAGAAGGGGGCTGGGGATTTATTTAACTCAGTGGTTCTGCTGTCTGCCTTAAAAGCCTGGTCCCAAGTTCAATTTTCAGGAAAAAAAAAAAAAACGGAAGGAAGAGGAAATGAATATAGAAAACAATGTGGGGATTGTCTTAGCTTTATTTACTTAGTATTTTCTTGCCCCGGGAGGGGTAATACCTGACTGTGCCCAGTTTTGGCAGTTTTGTTCTATCTGAGCACTTTGTGGCATCATATGCTCTTCTAATGTTCCTTAGGGTCCCCTTCTGCTGCACAGCCCGTCACTGTAGCCTCCCCTATGGGCTGTGCCCTGGTCCCAATGAAACAGCTCAGAATCACCTGCCTTTCCTGTCACTGAGAAATCCTCCTCCCTATAGAAGTTCCCTGACTGTCCCCTCCCTCCTTCTGAAATCCATCTATTTTGGTACAATGACGGTGTCACTTTCAAACTGCATGTTGAAATGAATCCCCAATGCAACAGAGTTAGGCGGTACAGCCATTGGGAAGCAACTGAGTCAAGAGAGTTCTGTTCTCAGGAATAAGATGAACACTGTTACAAGACTTGGTTGAAGGGTGTTTTTTATTGCTCTTCTGCTTGTTATGATACATTCCCCTCTGGAGGGTGTAGCCACAGCATTCCATATTAGAGGCAGAGAGACGCTCTCAGCAGACACTGTACTCTTCTGTGTTCCTCGGTCTTGGACTTCTCACTCTCCAAACAATGTGAAATAATTGTTTTGTTGTTTATAAATTACCCAGTCTTTGGTATTACAGAAACATAAGTGAACTAAAGTATCTCCTGATAGCAATGGCCTCTTCAGAGTTCAATTTGAACAATGTTTGGAGAGATGTGTAGTGGGTTGAATGGTAAGCCATAAAGAGATACATCCATGTCTTAATTGCCTATAGCTTCACTGGGAAACAGGCTTTGTACACATAATTACATTAATCGCTTCTTTGCTTTTTGGCAAAGATCAAGGGCATATAATTACATTAAGAATCTTGAGAAGAGATCATCTTTTTTTCTTTTTGATTAGGTTTTTATTAGAATTGTGTTTTGTTTTATTTTTATTAGTTCATTTTGCAGTGCGTAATATTTACACTCCTCATGTAGAGTTGTTACATGTACCCAACACATCTTTTCTTTTTTTTGGGGGGTACCGAGAGTTGCACTCGGGAACTGGCTCTTGTGAGGAGGCAGGTGCTTGCCACTGAGCTACATACCCTCCGCCCC